AAGTGTTTCCAGGACTGGCTGGCCAGTCAGACTAGTCAGAAGAGTGAGTTTATGGTTTAGTGAGATGCCCTGCCTCAAAGAACAAGGTGGAGAAGCCTTTGCATAAGGCTTCTAGTGTTGGAGTCTGACCTCCACATGTGCCTGTATAGACAGTGCATGTGTGTGTGTACTTGAATGTGCATGCACACATGCATGCGTGCACACACACATACACACACATTTTGTATTTCAGAAGACTGCTGTACTACTTATTTGTTCAGTTCTTGAAGTTTATAAAGTTACCTGTAAATTTAATTGCGTAAAAATTATAGGAGATTAAATGTGAGTCCATTTCCCATAACTATAGTGTTCTAACACAAACTCTTACAAGAAAATAAAGAGACTTTGTTAGCTGACATAAGTGTAGAAAGAAAGCACAGGGTTTGCACTGTTGTTCCTTGGACACCTGGATTGACAACTATAAGCAAATAGAAGCTTCTTTTTTTCCCCTCTTTTTTCTTGTTGTCCTATTTTCTCCTGTTTTCTCTGTAAGGCAAGTATGATATGTCAAAATGAAAGCAGAACAATTGCTTGTCTATTCAGGTTAGAAAAATCTAGAAAGTGGTTTGGATCCTTTTTAAAGCCTCTCACTGAATTCTCTGAGGGCATACAACCTAATCCCTCTAAGTGGAAATTAATCCATCTTTTCCTCTCAAACAAAGAATCAACCAAGGAAATCGGCAATGGGAAACTCTATTCTTTTTTCTTAATTAATTAATTTATTTATTAAAAATTTCCACCTCTTCCCCGCCTCCCTTTTCCCTCCCCCTCCCCACCTTCCCTTCCCTCTCTAGCCTTAAGAGCAATAGGGTTCCCTGCCCCATGGGAAGTCCAAGGTCCTCCCCACTCCATACAGGTCTATAAAGGTGAGCATCCAAACAAACCAGGCTCCCACAAAGTCAGTCCATGCAGTAGAATAAAAACCCAGTGCCGTTGTCCTTGGTTTCTCAGTCGGCCTTCATTGCCAGCCATGTTCAGAGTGTCCATTTTGATCACATGCTCCATCACTCCCAGTCCAGCTGGCCTTGGTGAGCTCCCATTAGATCAGTCCCACCATCTTCGTGGGTGGACGCACCCCTCGTGATCCTGACTTCCTTGCTTACGTTCTCCCTTCTTCTGCTCCTCATTTGGACCTAGAGAGCTAAGTCCAGTGCTCCAATGTGGGTCTTTGTCTCTATTTCCATCCATCGCCAGATGAAGGTTCTATGGTGATATGCAAGATATTCATCAGTGTGGCTATGGGACAAGGCCAGTTCAGGCACCCTCTCCTCTGCTGCCCAGGGAACAATCTGGGGACCTCTCCTTGGTCCTGGGAACCCCTCTAGAATCAAGTCACTTGCAAACCCTAAAATGGCTCCATTAATTAAGATATTTACTTCCCTGCTCCCATATCCATCCTTCCTCCATCCCACCCATCCCATTCCCCCAAGCTTTGCCGAATCCTCCCCTTCTCTCTTCTCCCATCTCCCCTTACATCCACCCCCTCCCCCCCCACCCGCCGTGCACCCAAGTTTGCCTGGCAATCTTGTCTACTTCAAATATCCAGGAGGATAACTATGATTTTCTTCAGGTTCACCTTCTTATTGAGCTTCTCTAGGATCACGAATTATAGGCTCAAAGACCTTTAATTATGGCTAGAATCCACTTATGAGTGAGTACATACCATATTCCTCTTTTTGGGTCTGGGTTACCTCACTCAGTAAAGCGTTTTCTATGTCCATCCATTTGCATGCAAAATTCAAGATGTCATTGTTTTTTACCCCTGAGTAAAACTCTAATGTATATATGTTCCACACCTTCTTTAACCATTCTTCTATTGAGGGGCACCTAGGTTGTTTCCAGGTTCTGGCTATTACAAATAGTGCTGCTATGAACATAGTTGAACAAATGCTTTTGTAGTATGATAGGGCATCTCTTGGGTATATTCCCAAGAGTGGAATTGCTGGATCCTGAGGTCGGTCGACTCCCAGTTTCCTGAGAAACCGCCACACTGATTTCCAAAGAGGCTGCACAAGTTTGCATTCCCACCAACAATGGATGAGTGTTCCCCTTACTCCACATCCTCTCTAGCATAGGTTATCATTGGTGTTTTTGATTTTAGCTAGTCTGACAGGTATAAGATGGGATCTCAAAGCTTTTTTGATTTGCATTTCCCTGATCACTAAGGAGGTTGAGCATGACCTTAAGTGTCTTTTGGCCATTCGAAGTTCTTCTGTTGACAATTCTCTGTTCAGTTCAGTATCCCATTTTTAAATTGGGTTAATTAGAGTTTTAGTGTCTAGTTTCTTGAGTTCTTTGTATATTTTGGAGATCAGACCTTTGTCTGATGAGGAGTTGGTGAAGATCTCCCAGTCAGAAGGAAATCTTTTTGTCTTAGTGACAGTGTCCTTTGCTGTACAGAAGCTTCTCAGTTTCAGGAGGTCCCATTTATTCATTGTTTCTCTTATTGTCTGTGCTACTGGGGTTCTACCTAGGAAGTGGTCTCCTGTGCCCATGTCTTGTAGACTACTTCCCACTTTGTCTTCTATCAGGTTCAATGTGGTCAGATTAATATTGAGGTCTTTAATCCATTTGGACTTGATTTTTGTGCATGGTGATAGATATGGATCTACTTTCATTCTTCTACAGGTTGACATCCAGTTATGCCATCATCATTTGTTAAAGATGCTTTCCTTCTTCCATTGTATACCTTTAGCTCCCTTGTCGAAAATCAGGTGTTCATAGGTTTGTGGGTTAATGTCCGGGTCTTCTATTCGATTCCATAGGTCAACTTCTCTGTTCTTATACCAATACCAAGCTGTTTTCATTACTGTAGCTCTGTAATAGAGTTTGAAGTCAGGGATGGTAATGCCTCCAGAAGTTCCTTTATTGTATAAGATTGTTTTGACTATCCTGGGGTTTTTTGTTTTTCCATATAAAGTTGATTATTGTTCTCTCAAGGTCTGTGAAGAATTTTGATGGGATTTTGATGGGGATTGCATTGAATCTATAGATTGCTTTTGGTAGAATTGCGATTTTTACTATGTTGATCCTCCGAATCCAAGAGCAAGGGAGATCCCTCCATTTTCTGGTATCCTCCTCAATTTCTTTCTTCAAAGACTTAAAGTTCTTGTCAAATAGGTCTTTCGCGTAAAAATTCTCAATAAAAAACTGGCAAACCGAATCCAAGAACACATTAGAAAAATTATCCATTTTGATCAAGTAGGCTTCATCCCAGAGATGCAGGGCTGGTTCAACATACGCAAATCTATCAATGTAATCCATCATATAAATAAACTGAAAGGAAAAAAAAAACCATATGATCATTTCATTGGATGCTGAAAAATTTTTGACAAAATTCAACATCCCTTTATGATAAAGGTATTGAAGAGATTGGGGATACAAGGATCATACCTAAATATAATAAAAACTATTTACAGCAAGCCGACAGCTAACATCAAATTGAATGGAGAGAAACTCAAAGCCATTCCACTAAAATCAGGAACACGACAAGGGTGTCCACTCTCTCCATACCTCTTCAATATAGTGCTTGATGTTATAGCAATAGCAATAAGACAACATAAGGGGATTAAGGGGATTTGAATTGAAAAGAAGTTAAACTTTCGTTATTTGCAGATGATATGATAGTGTACATAAACGACCCCAAAAACTCTACCAAAGAACTCCTACAGCTGATAAACACCTTAGTATTGTGGCAGGATACAAGATGAACTCCAAAAAATCAGTTGCTCTCCGATACATAAAGGATAAAGAAGCAGAGAGGGAAATCAGAGAAGCATCACCTTTCACGATAGCCACAAATAGTATAAAATATCTTGGGGTAACTCTAACCAAGGAAGTGAAAGACCTATTTGACGGGAAACTCTATTCTTGTTTGCAGATCATTTTTTGACCAAGTTTGGTTAAAATGGTTTTCCCCTTGATATTTGTTGCGTCTAGTTTATCTCTGTTCTTTTTCCTCTTTTTTCTTTAGTTGTTTTTCCCTCACTGGAGACACTGACGCTGGTAGCCCTGGTGCTTCTCTTCCTTCTAATCTGCCAACTTCCTTTTCATCCTGGTTAGGTTTTTTTTCTCAGCTTGACACAAACTAGAGTCACTGAGAAGAGGGACCTCAACTGGGAAAATGCCTCCATCAGATTGGTCTGTGGGCAGTTTTCTTGATGAATGATTGATGTGGGCTCAACATATAGGGAGTGGGGCCAGCTCTGGGCAGGTGTCCTGGGTTTTATAAGAAAGCAGACTGAGTAAGCCATGAAGAGTAAGCCAGTAAACAGATCCTCCATGGCCTCCACTTTAATTCCTTGAGTTCTTGTCCTGACTTCCCTTGATAGCGGACTATATACTGTAAGCTAAGTTTTAAAAGGAGAAATTTGAGGGCCCCATCCTGTTAAACTTAATTAGCATGTTTTCCTGTAAATGTCACAAAAGCTGTGGCTGGCCTTGCAAATCATATTCTCTACTGACCATTTAGCTCAGGGATGGAAGATTATGAGGTTCTTTAGAGAGTGTCGGGTAGTGTTCTATGCTAGTTAAGTTTATTTTAGAACTGTAACCTTGTAAAGTGAAAGCCAAGTAGCATTTTGTTGACTCTGTATGCTTTATAGGTCACGAGTGGCTTCTGAACTAGCTTCTGGTGTGGCGAGCACACATCCTGAACTTTTCCACTGAAGGCCAGGCTGTTCAGGCTGTTCTCTATGTTTATTAGCATCTTTGCCATCAGTGACTGCATGTAGTATTCCCCAGTACCCACAGTAGAAGGGATGCCCCTCCATTCTCCAGTTCCTGTTCCAAGAGAAGTAATTCGTGCTGTTTTATGTGGACACAATGTAGCTGCTGGGAGTCTAAATATTTAGGCTTTGGATTCAGTATAATGCCTGTAGTCAATCAGTATAATGATTGCCAGTTCAGTGAAATAATTGAATTATGGATTCATAATCTTTTTGTTTGTTTGTGATTTTTAGGTTAAAACTTCAGCAACAAATTGTGAATACTGAAAAGGCAGAGAAAGAAAAACTTGAAAATTCTGAACTGAAACAGGTGTGATTGTAATACACATTTTGCTTTTATTTTGTTTGATGCTTCTTTTAAGTCTGTTTTATGTAGTTATTGCATTTACTCATATTTAATACTTTGTAATACAATCACCATAATTGATAATATACTTTTAAAGCTGTTATATGAAGATAAGATGTTTCAATTTGTTCTGCTATAGCTTAGTCGACTTGTTTTACTTTTGCTTAATATATTGGTATGTTATGGCCTGTGATAAATTTTTTATTAAAATGACAATTTTTGACATTCTGAATTTTCTGTGATGGGTTAATGAGTGGTTTTCTTTTCTTGCTTATCTGTATAAAGTTTAAGAGTTGTATTCATGGGAAGAAATTGATTTTTTATTTTTTAAGATTTATTCATTTATTTATTTATTTGTACACAGTGTTCTGCTTCATGTATGCCTTTTTTTGGAGACAGGATTTCTCTGTAGCTTTGGAGCCTGTCCTGGAACTAGCTCTTTTAGACTAGGCTGGCCTTGAACTCACAAAGATCTGCCTGCATCTGCCTCCCTAGTGCTGGGATTAAAGGTGTGCACCACCACCACCACCTCTTTTTGAAATTAATTTTTTTAGGTTAAAGAAAATATTTATATAATGTTGGATAAAATGCATAATATTATTTGTTTCTGAGTTCTGTTTTCTTTTTGCTTGAAGTATTTCTTTTCTCCTAGAATTTTTGCACTTCAAGGAGATACTAACTACTACTTTGCTTGTCACAGTGCTTACATGTCACCTGGCATTGCTTGCATGTGCAGTTAGGGAGCCTTAGCCAGTAGGGTACAATATTTTTTCGCTGAGAGACATGGCTGTAATACTTAGACATTCTGTCATCCTAAATCTAGAGTTAAGTTTCTTGAAGGTTGTTTAGTTAAAAAGTTGTAATATAGAGTTAATGCTATCTACCTCGGTTTTAAAAAAAGGAGTAAGTTCTACATGAAGAAATTTATTCTAAAATAGAACTCTGAGACACACCATATTACTGTATTGTAGTAATTGCTCCATAGATGTGTATAGTGCTGTCTTTTATACAATCAGCCATATAATGCCCCCCCCCACTTATCTAACTGAGAATCTTGCTTCTTGTTGGGCACGGTGGTACTGCCTGTGATGCTAGCACCGGGGAGACCAAATTCAGGCTTCTGTGCTTATTAAGTAGACAAGTATCCTGTACTGAGCTGCATCTTAGCTGATGGTGGGTTCTTTTGATTTCTGTCGCGTGATTCAGTAAACTCTGAAAGGTCTTCCAGAGAATTACTAAAGAGAAGTTGTAGTGAAAGAAAAATAAAGACATATATTAGTTTATAAAATAAAAATGGCTTATGAAGAATGTGATATATAATTGTCCCTAGTGAGGTCTATTTAATCACAACTTAAAGCCGTTTGAGTCTTTCTAGCCATTAGATCTATAACTCCAGCATACTATGAGGAAAGCGTGCTTCCATGTGAAGGGAGATTGGGGATGAAGTTCCATACATGTGCTGATAGACGGCTCTAGAGCAGTTGCTCTCAACCTTCCTAATGCCGCAAGCCTTCAATACAGTGTATGATACTGAGTCTGTGGGGATAGTGAGAGATGACACAGGACACCCTCTGGGCCCTGCGCCCTTGGGAGAGCCATTTCTGGGAGGTACCTGCTTCTCACATCCCTTAATGAATGTCTTAGTGTCTTTTTATTTTTTTTTTTCTCTCTCTCTCTCTCTCTTTCTTTCAAGCAAATCAGTCATTTGCAGATCCGAGTGACCTCCCTGACACAGTCAGAGAATGACTTGCTGAATTCAAACCAAATGCTGAAGGACATGGTGGAGAGATTAAAACAAGAATGCCGAAATTTAAGAAGTCAAGCTGAAAAAGCACAACTAGAAGTTGAAAAGTAGAGTTTGCCCTTTATTATGTACAAACTATTTTTTCTTTCTACTGTATAAAGTATATTTTATTGATGATTAAAACAGAGTGTATTTGTAGGTTGTGTACTTTCTCTTTCTTTTAAAATGAACTTTTGCTCCTAAATTGCTTTTAAAAGTTTTAGGCATGGATAAAGGACCTTTAAAATTCTGAGCACAGTGTTCCTGAAAACTCTTAAAGAAAAACCTTTATTCATTGAGCAGACCAGAACATGGTTCCCAAATCTGTTCTGAATGCCAGAGAACAGAATGATTTGGTTGTGGGATTGTGCTCTGTCTATGTCTGTCTCTCTCCTTCTCTGTTGCCTTTTGGATTTCCCTTTTCAAAAGTTATTTACTTATTTGTATTCTTTTCACCTTGGAATTGTCTGGTCGTAGACAGTAAACTGGTAAGGAAAATGTGCTGGCCGTGCTCAGGATTTATACTTCTGAGAGGTTGCTGGCATGTGGTAAAGTGGGGCTGGGGTGTACCTCAGTACAGTTGATGGGCCGTTGTACAGAGGCCTTGGATTTGATCCCTGGCAGCACAAAAACAAATAAATATAGAATACTGCTTTATAGTTGCTTTGTTTTTTTTATAGCATGTTGTTTTTATTTATTTATAGGACAGTTTTCTCCAAATTTGTTCTTAAATCAGTTTTACCACATAAAACTTTTCAGTTTTTCTGTTTTTCATATTTTAAGGCTTGTCTATGCTTTATAGATGGCGTTTTATGTATGGTGAAGGCAGTTAGAAAGATGCATCTCTATACTGTGTTGTGACATTCCAGAGGCTCTAACTACTTCTTCTGTTTTGTCAAAGAAGAAATGTGTGTCTTTTGATCCTCAAATATTTGATTAAAATGAGTATAAGAATTCTAATGGCACACCGTGTAGCTGACGGATTAGGTGACTCACTTTGGTTTCAGACTGGTATCCATTGCGTTGCTCCACGTAGCTCAGCAGTAACGTGCTTGCTTCACATGTGCAGGACTCTAGGTTATGTTCTCAGTGCCCAGCTTCAGACATAACACAATACTGGATTTCTAGATCAGTAGAATTTAACTTTTGTTCCAGCTAATATACTTAAAATCTGTATGAGTAATTAGACAAACAATCTAACATTTTTTATTTTTATTTTTAATGGCCATATAGTATTGATGATAAAATTCATATTATTGATAAGTATGCAGAGTAACTTTTAAATTATATTATTACTAGCATAAAACTTAAAATATAATTTATACAAAATTTACACAGAAAAATAATTTTCATTAAAACTTAATATTTAGCTTGTTTTTTTTTGTTTAGTTTTGTTTTTGTGATAAGATCTCTGTATGTAGCCCTGGCTATTCTGGAATTTGCTATGTAGATCAGGCTGGCCTTGTGCTCACAGAGATCAAATTGCCTATGCCTCTGGGATGCTGGGGTTAAAGGTGTTTGCTACCACACCTGACATCAGACTTGACTTTTAACTGCCTTTAGTAGATACATTTCTTAGCTTGGTGTTTATAATCATTGTTCAGATTTTAAGTGCTTATCCTGACAATAAATAGATATGTTTCTTTATGCAACTTAGTTGCTCTAACTTCAGTTTCCTCATTTATTTAGAAGATGACAGAAGTACCTTACTCTAGGGGTTTAGTGTAAATATAGTGTCTATATTATTTTAAATACAGCATGTAAGAGTCACTATAGCTGAAAAGATGGGATGTGGTCAGACAGGCAGGTTGTTTGAGAACACTTGTGATAATGTCTGTTTGGTGGAAGAACTGCTGTCTAATTCCTTGGTCTTTGCCCATGTTCTGTGACAGGACATTGGAGGAAAAACAGATACAGTGGTTGGAAGAAAAGCATAAGCTTCATGAGCGAATCACGGACCGAGAAGAAAAGTACAATCAGGCTAAAGAGAAGCTACAGAGAGCTGCAACTGCTCAGAAAAAGGCAAGTGGCTTTTAGGAGAATGGTTTCTTTAGAGTCAAGCATCACTGTCCAAGAATAACTGAGGGTGAGGTTTTGTGGCCTATTTGACGTGATATCTAAACATCACATTTTTCTTTTATTAATCTCACAGAGACAATTGAGAAAATCCAACTAACAGGTGTATTTCTAAAATTTTTAGAGCTAATATTTATTTTCTTAGAGATGCTTTTTTCAGTCCCAATCCATGCAAATGTGCATGACTCATTCTTCACTTAAGTTGTAGTGTGACTAGACCTGTTTCAATTATACTTAACATCTATCACATTGCTTTTGTGCTTTAAGTCTTTTTTCTTGAGCTGGGGTAAGAATGGTAAGAATTTCCCAAGACTATCTAGTAAGTTCTAGGTCACACAGGGCTTCATAGTGAGACTTTGTCTAAAACAACACAAAAAAAGAGAGCGCTTGTTTCCAACTCAGCAAATAGAGAAACAAATGTCTCCCTGCCCCACCAGTGCGATCTTGGACTTACCCTGACTTCTGAAGCTACTCTGTTGCGTTCTAAATTGTCCTTTGTAGGCATATGTTTTTCTACTCCAAAAGCTTCACATTTTTGGAAACAATGCAGTAGTACTTCATGTACATTAAGTAGCCAGATGATTCATCTAGTCAATACTTACAGCTTCTTTCTGCTTCAGCAAGGACTGTCTTAGATCCCATCAGCAGCAGTGACTCAGTGTGCCACTGATTCAGCTGTTCTTTTCAGCTGCCTGGGTGTGGGGAGAGACAGGGCTATGTGTCTACGTTTGAAAAGTCTCCATTTAGTGAGTTAGGGCCCTTTGTAGTGGCATTGGTTCTGACAAAGAAAGACAATGTGAATGAAAGAAATATGCACAGTTATACCAGTATCTTAATATCCATATAACTTTGAATGGGTTAAATGTTCATTAATTGCATAAGAGAAATAACTTAAGTCATTCTCATGATACTAAAAGTAAGACAATGTTTCTTATAGAAGAAACCCAATATTTTTACCCATATGGAAGCACATTTTTTCTTCTTATTTGTCAGTTGTATTCCTTTCTGTCCATATGTAAATTCTGAAAGGCTATTAGTGTTAATGACATTTCAGTGATTTTGTTTTTAACAACTCCAGATGATCTTAGCAATTCTACTGTACTTTTTGTACTGTTTGGAGTTTAGAAACGTTCAGAAATCTCTAGGAAGTATTGTGAGCTATTTATCTTTTGCAGATAAACTTTTTTGTTGCAGTATTCCTAATTATTAAGGTTAATTTGGGTTAACTTGTTTTGGAGTAAAAGTGACATCCGGTGGTGACAGGGATTATCAACTAATTGTAGGTATACCAGAAAGAGGACAGGGTACTTAAAATCCTAGAAAATAATATTTTTCTGCTATTGTAATAATGCTTATTTCTTCTCAAATACTTAACCAACTGATGGGTGAGAACATAGTGCCATTTCACTTTTAAATTATTTATTTGTGGGATTATGTGGAGAAAGATGGGGTGGCACACTCCCCTATCCATAGAGGACCTCTATCATTGTCAGCTTATTTCTTTGAGACAGGGTGCCTCTGAACCTAGAGCTCAGGTGTATTTTGAGGGTAGACTAAAAACCATCAAACTCCCGTGATTTTTTTTTTTTTCTTTTCTCAGCTTCCCTTAGTGCTGAGGTTACAGGTCTGCATAAGAATTGTTAGGTAGGTGTTGAGATCCAAACTCCAGGTCACTTCCTCTCCAACATTGTACCATCTCTCTCCAGCTTCTCACTTCACCCTTTTTTGTTGTATTTGAGTCAGAGTATTATTATGTTGGCACTGGCTGGCCTGGAACTTGCTACATAGACCAGCCAGACCTTGAACTCACAGACATCTGGCTACCTTTGCTTCTCAAGTGCTGGAATTAAAAGCATGGAACACCACTCCAGGATTTTATTCACTTTTAAATATGTGAGATGTAAATTATGATTTAAGTCCTAGGAAATTGCTCAGTTCAATCCAGTGAATAACAGTGACCTAGAGCTATTATCTATTATACCATGTGGAACACTTCCCTAGGAATTTTATCAGTTGAAGTGTGTGTGTGTGTGTGTGTGTATGTGTGTGTATGCATGTGTGAGAGAGAGAGATAGTACTATGTATGTCAGAATATGTGATTTTTAGGGGTTTAAGATAGCTTTTACAAATTGGGAAACTGAAGTTGTAGATAACCAGGATAATCTGACCTGTTAGAACCCAGTTTTTGCAAGTCATAGTGGTATGTACCTATAATCCCAGCACTTGGGACACTGAGGCAAGAATAGTATGTCCAACCTGGACTACTTAGGGAGATTTTGTTTCAGAAAGCCAAGGTAGGGAGATCCTGGCTTGAATCTCTGGTATACAGCCCATACCTTTCTACTCGTATTCCTGTGTTCTTTCCATTGCTCTATGACTCTTCAGTTCCCCCTTCCTTTGATTCTAGATGTCTTTTAAGTTTTCTCCTTAGAGCTATGGTTCACACGAGTTATTTCCTATGTCAGAACAATCAGTATAAGTTAACTCTTACCATTTCCTGGCTTTTGTTAAAACATCCTAGCCAGTCACAGTAATGTAGTAAATTACAGTAAATCACAGTACCCTGAAGGCGGGGACAGAAGTAGGAAGATCTTTGAATTTGAGGCTAGCCTGGTCTACATAGGGCATTCCAGGCTAGCAGAGTTCACAGTGAGACTATCTCAAAGCAAAACAAAGAACTTCTACCACAATTTTTCTATCATTACAAACACATAATTTATAGTGGAGCAAAAAAATTTAAGCTCTTCATTTAAATGTCAAAAAAATCATAACTTTATTATGCAGTAAGACTTAAACCACAAACTAGTAATCTAGAATAGAAATTGTAATTTTTTGTAATTTCTTACCCATGAAAAATTCTTTAAACGCAAGACTAGCAACTTTGTTTTCCCTTTGGGCTAGATAAGCATGCCATCTGGGTATGTTTATTCAGAATGCTAAACTTCTAAGCACAAGACTTAATATCATTTTTAGTAAGTGTATTTAGGTAGAGCCTTTGGTGGAAATGCAATGTTGATGTGTTCATCATTTTTTAATTTGTTTTTGAAAAGCATGGCCGGGGACCTTGAATGTTGTTGTTTGGTTGAAGATGTCTTTGTTTCTCTGCTGGCTGTCTTCACCGCTTGAGTGTGCTGTGAACACAATGAGTTATCTGTCCTTTTGAGGCACGTGAAATAACAGTTTGCAATTTTTTTATTTTAAAATGATTCTCTCTGAAATAATCTTGTAGTTCTGGCTGGCCTGAGACTTAGAGATCCATCTGCTTCCCGTGTGCTGGTATTTACAGGTGTGCACCCACAGACCCAGCCTAAAGAAGTTCTTGGTTAAATACTATTGTGAACATTTTCCCATAGAGTGATAAGCCATGGCCTTTAAGTTTCAGAGTATTTTATGAGACATGTTATGTGGTCTAGCATTATGCTGACAGAGAAGAGAAGCTATCATCTCTCCTTAACCTTGACAACTGTATAATCTCTTTGAAGAAAGAAATCAGTGTTTAAGAGATACCTAGATAATACTATTGAACACTCCCAGGTCATTTACATAGATACTAATTTGAGAACCCTGTACCTGTACCAAGAACATCCCCCTTTCAATAAATAAATAAACTAGAGGAACCCACCAAACTCCAATGGACAGTTCGAAACCCATGGTTACAGAGACAGCCCTACTTAAACGCATTATGTTACAAAACAAAAAGATGAGAATGTAGGAAGGGAATTGTAGGATGGAGGGAAGGCTGATAGGGATAGGAGGGAGATAAGAGAAGGCTGAGGAAAGAATATTCAGAAAATGAATATATATGAGAAATGGTCAGAGAGCAAATTTAGTAAAAGCTACAAAAAAGCCTTAAGACAAGAAACTTTTCATGAGGTGAGAAACTTAGACAGAAGTTCAGGGTATAAGAACCAAGGTGGAGAGTAACTAACTCCCAGAGGTCTTCTCGAGGAGAAATGACAGAATACAGTCACATGCAGTTTGCATGTAGACCTGGCTGGGGTAGGAGGATGGCTGAGCTTAGGAGTTTAGAGTAAGCCTAGGCATGGTGAGACCCTGTCTCAAAAACAAAGAAACACCCCACAGTATGCTGGTAAATAAATAGGTGACAGGGGTCATTTTAGCTGTCAGAACATAAGTGGAACTGGGTGGTAGAATGAAGAACATGAAGTGCAAGGAGATTTGAGCAAACACAGATCGGCAGTGAAGGCCTCAAGCAGATGCATTGACTAGAGATAAGAAAAGGAAGCCGCAAGACAAGGGCGTGAGCTGTGTTATAAAGTGAACTGAGGTTTTGAGTGGCTGAGGAGAAAGCCCAAACTGGAGAGAGTAGCGAGGAAGAGCTGGTGGACATGCCCATGGGTAGGAGCAATAGTGCGACCGCTGTGGGACCCAGGAGAAGGGTGATATCTCTGTGACCACGTGCTTTCCCAAAACCCCCATAACCAGTGCTGTTGGCCTCAGAGACTTGCTGGGGCTCACTGGGGCTCAAAAACAAACCGGTGACCTCCAGGATCAGCGAGAAACACTGAAGTGAGTATGGCAGAGAGTTGACGGCAGGGTCCCTGACATCCGCCTGTGGCTTCCATACATGTGCAACACACACAAACACACAGCCCATATTTTAAAGGGGGCAAATGGTCCTTGAATGTGGTTAATTCGCTAATCAAGGGGGAATCCCAATTCTTGTTTTTGAGGTTTTAGCAGGGGAGTACTGCTATGTTGCATTTGTCCCCCCCCCCCCCCCCTTTTTTTTAAAAAAAAAAAAAAAAAAACAAGATCTCAAGTAGTGCAGGGTAGCTTTGAATTTTCTATGTATTCCAGGCTAGCTTGATTCTCCTGCCTTAGCTTCCTGAGTGCAACCACACCTAGCTCTACATACCGTATAAGAGTTCTCTTACTCCTGACTGTGCAGTGGTTACGCACACCTTTAATCCCAGCACTGGGGA